CGCCAGTACAGCCAGGATGAGGTGGGGCTGTGCTGGGGGGGGTCCACCACCTCCCTGGGAAGGGTGGGAACATAGCAGGGGACAGAGTTTGTCCCCAGCCTGGGGCTGCGTCCTCTTTGACCCCCACTCAGATAGGCAGGGATGTGCTGGGGTTGGCACTGCTCCGTGCTGGCATCCCCTGGCACTGCTGGCACTGACCCAGCCTGTGCCCGCAGAGCTACTGGCGGGGGAACACGGCGCGGCAGAACGAGCATCGCCTGCGGAACGTGGACCCGCAGAGCTCCTGCTGCAGCCTGGGGGCCCTGGCTGTCCAGCTCTACCAGCAGCTCATCCGTACCGCCGAGAAGTGCCTCAAACCCATGATTGGTACGGCCTTGGGCTCACGGGGCCCCCTGGCACGCTGGGGCAGGGTGGGAGTGCTGTGCTCAGCTCTGTTACAGGGGCTGGGCCCAGAGGGGGACAGTCGGCTTTGAATGGGGTGGGGTGGGGGGGTGGTCCTCTTCTATGAGGGACCATCTGCTCCTTGAGCATCCTGGCATGGAGGGGGTGGCTGGGGAGCTAAAGTGAGCTCGGCACCCTGGGGCCCTCGGGCTGCATCCATGGGGAGCTTTGTTTCGCCCATGTCCTGCTTTGCAGCCTCCTGTTGCAGGGCCAGCCCCTGGGCTACCCTGGGCTGGCTATCCTGGGGGTGTCCTTGGCCACTGCATCCCCAGCTGGGACACAGAGCCAAGGAACAGAGTCCTGGCTGCTTGAGGTGTGTCGTGGGGTCTCTGCCTTGTTATGATGAGCCTTTTTTACCCTTTAGTTGCTGCAATGCTGGAGAGTGAGCCCATACAGGGCTTGTCCTCTTCCTGCCCTCCTGGCCACCGCCGGTCTTCTACAGCCCCTGCCTACACCTTGCCGTGCAGCAGCTGAGCTCCTTCCGTGCGGTGCTGGACCACCACGGGCTGGCCCCCAGCGTGGGGCACCAGGCCATGCGCCAGCTCCTCTTCCTCGTCAGTGGTACCACCCTCAACTACCTGCTGCTGAGAAAGGACACGTGCTCCTGGAGCCGTGGCATCCAGCTCCGGTCAGTCCCCGTGCAGCATGGGTGCATCTGGAGGAGCTGGGACATGGCCCGTGCCACCTTCTGACCTGGTTCCCCTGGCAGGTACAACATCAGCCAGCTGGAGCAGTGGCTGCGGTCAGAGGGGCTGCAGCAGATCGGGGCCCGGGAGGTGCTGGAGCCCCTGGTCCAGGCTGCCCAGCTGCTGCAGGTGAAGAAGGTGACGGAGGAGGATGCTGGAGCTCTCTGCAGCCTGTGCACCGTTCTGTCACCCCAGCAGGTACGGCAGGGGGTGGGGGCTTGCTGGGGACTTGCTGTGTGCCAGGTGCTCATCCAGCCCTTCCTTGTTCATGGTCTCCACCATCTCCTCCAGGTTGTGAAGATCCTCCGGGCTTACACTCCGGCTGTTGGGCTGGAGGAGCGCATCAGCCCCAGCTTCATCAGCAGCGTTGAGGTAAGTGGGACCAAGGGTCTAGTGCTGGGGGTAGGGGGTTTCTGCCTGGGCCCCCTCACTGGGGCAGCCCTGGATGCGTGAGCCCTGTGTCCACAGAAGCAGCTTCAGGACCAGTATGGAGAGGGACCCAGCCAGCTCCTGGTGGACACCAGCCACCTCTTCCCTGTGCACCTGCCCTTCTCTGCTTCCCCACTGCACCTGGATGAGCTCTGCATCCCTGATGCCCTCAACCTGGCCTTCCTTGTCCGTCTCTGAGACCAAGTCTGGCCCTGGGCCACTGCTGGTGCCCCATTGAGGGCTGCCTGACCCCCCCCGAGGTGTGGGAAGGCCATGGGGGTGCAGCCCTTTGTGTGCTGTTCTTCTGGGAAGTTGTTTATTGGAACTCAAGTGCCTCGACTGGCACAGCCAGGGCCGGTAGCAGTCCTGCGCTGGGAGGTTTGGCCACTTTTTAATCCTTTGAAGTTTAATAAAAGTCTTTGCAGATAACTTCAGCGTCTGAGGTTGTCTGGGGGGGGTGTGCTGTTTGCAGGGCGGTGTGAGGGAGCTTGAGGACCATGACCGGGGCA